GTTTTCGTTTTTTTTTTTTTTTCTCCTTTTTCTGGTTTTTGATGCCAAAGGGGCTTTGGGACGACATGCATCTCTGCACGTACTGCAGGCATGGGTTTCAGAATAGGATTGCCTCAAATTGTAGGTTCCTCTTTGCGATCTCTATGCTACAGATCCCCTTGATTTGGGAAAAGATACTAATGGCCCTTATTCCTGAGAAACTCCATGCGAGGCAGGCGGGGTGATTGTTGTCTCTCCCAAAAGCCCCTACAAAATCCGTATATGGGGGCTTCCCAAAATTAGGGTACCATTTTGGGGGTCACTGTAATAAGGATTATAGTATATCAGGGTCTATATTGGGGTCCCCGTATTTAGGGAAAGTACCAAACCACCCTATACATTCCGTATACGGCCCTATGCAACCCTCAAATATGCCACGGGGCTGGAGATTGAACTTCTAGGCCAGGCTCAGGTGAGGAGCTACATCTGAATAGCCTCTTTATATAGGTATATTTGTGGATTATACAGGGTTTAGGGCTTAGAGTCTAGATGAACAGTCTTTTTAGATAGGGATATTTGTGGATTATACAGGGTTTAGGGCTCAGAGAGTCTAGAGGATAATGGAGGACAAGAAAATTAATCTGGAATACGAAGTAGACACTGGGACGATGTAGAGGTTATGTAGTATTTTAACTCGGGATCGAGTACTTGTACGTGCTTCCAATTGTGGAGACCAAAAGTAAAATCCATGGGCCCTGTAGATATGGGTGCCAGCATATAATCTCATAGCAGCATGTAGATACCAGTACTTTGGGTATATGACGGGCACCTTGTTTTGAGGAATTCCCAAGATTTGGAGGCAATCCCCTGTCACTTGTTTTTCCTGACATCTGTCTTGAGGCCTTGCCTTCTCAGACAATCACCAAGTATTTTGTGGCCCCTCACTGTCGTATCAGTTTTGGAGAATGCTTTTGGCTAAGGATGAGTCCAAGTACACCTTCCCGACCATCAAGTATGCCACGCAGCTGTACGATACACGCATGGAGAACTGCTTCAAGCTTGACCAGCTCAACATCACAAGGCTCGCCTCTCGGAAAAGTACGTGAGTAGCGGAATCCGAGCCGAGAACAGGGAATGCTGAGCACCCAAAGGATTCCAATGATGTGGTTCTTAATTTGATCTGTGCGGAGGTCATGTGACCCCGGCATTCGGCATAGTCATGTGCACCATTCTTAGCAGTACGGTGCTGCAATCAATGTCCAAGCTCTTGTAGCGAATCATCAAATGTTTGAAGGGCATTCTGGGAGGGTTCATAGCAGCTCTTAGCTCCTGCGGAGTAGTTTTCAAGAACGCTGTAAGAAAACTTGTTGCACTGTTGGCGAGGCGGTACATCCCATCAGCCGTCTTCAAACAGATCGAATGCGGTACGCTCCAGTACGTCAACGAGATGAGACACCCGGCTGCACTGGTGGACCTTCCACTAGCTGCAACAGTCAACACAAGCAGAAGTTGAGAGAGCACCTTCCGCGTCCCAATTGGGAACTTTGAGCTTTTACAGCGTGGTGAAAAGACCAATCAAGCATGACACATGCACACATGCTTGTTTTCGCATGTAGTCTGCAAGCTACAGCAGCAAACAACCTTTTGGTTAGCTGTGTCTTTGCCTCGGATGCTGGGACTCATGGTCTTTTTCGCAGTCAAAGATACTCCGCCGCACTGCCTCTTTCCGTCGTTGCAGCTGTAAGGACTGACAGGCATTGAACTGTCCGTCGGAACGAGATGCAAACGCATGTTTTGCATTGCCGGTCTGGGAAACACGAAGCATGTCAGTACGGGCAACCCTGCTGAACTCCAGCATTCCACTCAACCCTCAGCACAACCAACATCTTTATCTATGTAATCCTGCACCGGTAACCCAACCTTCAGGCAGACAAAACAACGAAGAAGGATTGTAGCTTGGATTTTAAGGTTTCGGGTTCTTGCTGCTACTAGTTGGCCCTGATTCTGGAGCCCCTGCCCAGAAGATGCCTCACGTACATTACCTCTGCCATTCCCCCTATGTACGTGGGCGTTGAAACAATGTAGACCCAGACTAGGGGCTACCACGCTGACACTTCGAACTAGGAAATATCTCCGTCATCTTCATCAATGGCTCTGGCTTGGACGTCGGCAGCTTAAAAGTCGGAAGCGCGGTAGCTTTTTGGGTCCGTCAGAGGCTGTTCCCTAACGAATCTAAATTTAGACTGGCTGTTCGGGGCTTCGGCTTCGAATAGGGGTCATCATACTGTAGGGATAATTTTTGGGGGAGTCCAGCGGGTCCTCCTCATTTCATTTTAGCATTACTGGATTCCCAAGTTCCTGATGAGGAGCTTAGACTCAGGTATGGTAGCATGGAAGTAAAGTAAATCATAGGGTACCACTTCAATGGCAACTTACTTGGAGTCCTTAGCAGCAATCCAGAATCAGTGATAATTAAGCAATGAGAGCTCTTCCGACCCCAAGCATCCCCATGCAGGCCATGCAAGAACTTAGACATGGTATTTTTCCAGAGAAGCCAAGTTGCATGTAGGGGTTATAGGAATTCAACTCACCAAGGGTTTCTGAAACTCCGAATCTTTTGTGTTTGCTGGAGACTTTTTAAGCGGTTTTGAGAAATATAGTAGTCCTGGCATAGTCCCAGAAATTGGGCGTCTAGTCTGAAGAAATGCCCAAGTCTAATACATGCCCTCAGCCGAGACTTGTATAATGTAAAAAGCGCCGGGCACATCCCTGGCAAGTATTTCAATGAGGCCCCTAGAGGCCACTTGGAAAGCCAAATCCTAAACCATCAGCCTAAACCCTACATCCCACATCCTGGGCCCCCGCTGAGAAGCCTAAACAAAATCCTCAGTTGATGCTTGTAAACCCCTTATATCTCCCCATTGACCCTGCATAGTCCCTAAACCCCTTACCCGTAAGGATGACGCACAGAAACCTTGTAATTTTCTATGAGCCCTGAAGCCCGGAACCCGAAGCGCCCGAATCCAAAACCCTACAGACTTCTTCAGGTGATGTCCAGCAGCGGCCCAGCACAGGCCCAGGAGCTTATGTCATCGGTGGCTACCTCAGCTTTTCCTCCTCGTCTTTTGTGGGACGTCTAGGGTTGACGCTCTAGGGCGTGATGTTGGAGGGGTGTGGGGATGATCTAGGACTCTACCGGAGCACTATACGAGGAGGGACCGTGCCGGATCTCAAAAGGGATTCTTTTGGGTCTCAGACCTACGGGAAGGATAGTATCGAACATAGCTTCCAGCTTGTAGGTTGTGAAGTGAAGCCCTGAAGGGCTGCGTGACTCTGAATCTAAGCTCAGCCCGGGCCCTAGGGTGGCACGGTTTGGGTTCGAAGACAACGGGTTCGAGCGTAAAAGCAGAGCAGGAGCTAACGCACTTGAACCTACACTCCCCATGTGCACCCAACCTTAGGCGGCTAGGGGGCCCGAGGCCTAGACGATCTACAGTGCAAACGCTTCGTATGGCTTTTTTTTGGGACTTCTAGGCCTTGCCGGAGGTTCCCTATGACAATTGCCAGGGGAGCCCTGCTGTTGAGAAATGCCCGTGAAATGCTGGAGAGGTCAGAATGGAAGTCCAACCCCGTTCCATGTATGTGATACAGATTTTCATGTTCCTCCTGAAGGGAGCTTCGACAGCAGCTCACATGCATGCCCCGAAGCCACCAAATCCCCAAATCGAAGCGTCCTGGTTGGCTCAGGTGCAGAAAGTCTGCTATGCGCACGAGGGAACCCTGAACAAGTTCCTGATTGATGACAAGGGCATGTGCATACCCCAGCACGTGGAACCGATTTTTCGTACAGGGGCAAAGCGAGATAACAGGATTTAAGTTATTTGAGTGGGTTGCGGGGTTGTGTAGAAACTTCCGGCCATTGCTGCGCCCCTTTTGCTCCGAGTGGGATAGCTCGGGATCAAAGTTCTGGAAATTACCCATGTTGGGAGTTTCACAAGATATGGGGCTTTGAGGTTAGGACTTTGTGGTGATGAAAGTTAGAGCCCCTGGTTGTTCTTTGTCTTTTGCTAGGTAGTTCCATCGTTGTTGGCGTTTCAGAAAGACGGCTGATGCATGTGCAGACGCAGTGCGAGTTGCTCCACGGGTTCCAGGGAGCTTGATGTTGATAATTGGCTCCTCATTGTTTGAGGTTGTTATTCGTCTGGTATGCTTGTATTGGACTAATGCTCATACAAGGAGGCTCTTCCAAACCTTCGCATCCCTTCTGCGACCCCTGTTTTTCCCTTAGCTATTCTTGGTAGAGTTATTTAAGCTCCAAACAAACCTTAGTCCCTCAATAAATCCATGGTCCATGATCCCCAGCACAGGCTCATTTTCTACTTCAGGCCTGATGTCCTAAACCTAGCTTCCAAATCCAAACCTCTAGCTCCAGACCCTTAAGCCCTCCCGTTCATCCCTCTATTGTACTCGTACGTAACCCCGCTGTGCAGCCTGCGGTTATCCTGAATCCCAGGCTCTTCCTCCTGGTTTTTGGCCTTCCCCCTCTTGTCCACCCTGACGATCCGGCGCGAGCTGTACTCGCCAGCATGGAGCTTGTACAGGCCGCGCGTAGGATCAATAGGAGGTTTTCTATGACCTCGTGGGCCCTATGTCCAGGTGATTTATGATATGGAGGTTTACAGGTGGTGTTTCTCAAGCTATGGGATCGACATTTGCGGTCCCGTACATCCTTGGAAAACGAGCTTTGTTGGCATGTCGTCTTAGTGATAGCCAGGCTCGCAAAGATGTAGTAGGAAGCGTCGTAGGTTTCTAGGTTAGATTAAAGGTTTAGGTCAGACTTGTTGGGTTTCATAGGGCCACAGTCCCAGCATCAATGGTTACTAAGCCAGAGTAGTACGGTAGCTCGCTTGGTGTGCTTACCGCTGGGTAAGTCTTGATAAATTAGAGCAGTACACGGTGCAACTCGCTTCTCTTCAGCATCCCTGAAACCGTGCGTACGTTCGGAGAGTTTTTCCTCTTGGCTGCGGTTCTCTGTACCCAGGCCCTATTATCTAAACTTCATGAACATGCTGCCATAGCGGGTAAGCATGTGATTCAAGTTGGGAACCCTCTGCTAGGTCCTGTTTGCCAGCAAGGGTCATAGGGGGCTCAAAAGGGGCCCTTCAACGACTATTATCTTAAAAAAGGACCTAAATGGTTTTCCAAGTTAGCTTGTGTGAAGGTAACCTTGCCTCTTGGTGTGGGAGCAGTGCAGCTTTTCCCTGGGACAACTGGGAAATGTCTTCTGCCAAGCGACAAATGCAAAGGCCCTCAAGGGTAGGACATCAGGTTTCGACAGCAACCTGTGCCTGCAGTTCCAGGGACCTCTTTGGAAGAGTTAGGCATCTCCGGGAGAAAAAAGAATGCCAGATCTTAGTACCCCCCGAAAGCTCATGCACACCTGACCCCAAAGTCTTCGACAGGTCTTCAAGAGAATGGACCTTATCGGGCGATTTGGAGTGACAACTGGCCGAAGTTACTGTGGAGTGGCAACCTCAGTAGTGATGTTGAATCAATCCTTTTCCTGAGTTGTTGCTGCTGCTGCTGCTGCCGCGGCTGCTGCTGCTGCTGCTGCTGCTGCTATTTCTACCTCCGTCATGATTCTTTTCTCCTTGTTCTTCTCAACAAGATTGGCGCTGCGTGGAGGCATGGCTTGAACCAAGGTTTGTGGAAGCGCGAAGCGGATGGAGTACACGGCCCCTTGGCTAGTCATCCCACAGTTTGCAGTCGCCTCAAACGCAATGGTCCCCGAGCAGCTGAAGCGCAGGTGCTTGGCGACTGCGTGAATCTGTCAGCGCGGTTGATGGTGTGCCGTCCTGTTTCTGTACGGGCTACATGGTTTTCGAAAATCAGAGGTACCATCTTGGGGGGTACCAGGAATCAGGATTCTTGTCTATTGGGGTCCATATTAGGTTCCCCCTATTTGTCGAATTTCCTACATGTCCTCTCAGGGTCGGCATGCAACCGCGTTGCACCATTATCGGGGTAATATCTCCATGCCCTAGAACCCTAAACCCTAAAACCTTCAAAACTAAGAGCGTAAAGCCCTAAACCTTAATCCCTAAACCCTAATCCCTCAAGTCCTAAAGCCCTACAGTTGGCTTTGCAGCCCAACGAGCCATGTCAGGCCAACGCCCCGCCACTGGGAGTTCTGACCGATGAGGAGACGAGCAGACACTCTACAGGCGGTTAAGGGTTTAGGGATTAGGGGCTAAGGGTTTAGGGTTTAGGGATTAGGGTTTAGGGATTAGGGTTTAGGGATTAGGGTTTAGGGTGTAGGGGCTAAGGGTTTAGGGTTCAGGGTGTAGGGGCTAAGGGTTTAGGGTTTGGCAGTGAAGGGGGGTTTAGGGTTTAGGGGCTTAGGGTTCAGGATGACACTCCACAGGTGATGTCTTGACTTGAAAGCTACTGTTTAGAGATGATGTAGGATATTACCCGAAGAATGGAGAATCAAATGGAAACGAACAAGGAAATGAAATGGAAACTGCGGTTATCGTTTTCACTATTGTTATTACGAATATTCTTGCTAATTATTAATCATTAATACTATTGAATGGTTTTAGTCATAACAATATTCTGCTGCAGTCAGTGAATTTCCAGAAGTTCTTGCGTGACCAAACCTGTACTCCATCACAGGTGAGATAGTTTTCAAGCCCCTGGCGCCCATCAAGGCCTGCCGAAGCGTGAGCCTTTCAGGGCTGAATGTTCATGCTCAGGGTCGAGGGTGTAGGGTGTAGGGTTTACGGGATGCCCGTTTCTTTCTCGGAGCTTTCGAAGGGGAGCCAGGTAGATGGGCTTCAGGGTCGCAACTCGTATGGGTGGGCTCTCTGGGATGCTAGCGCATGTTGTAGGCGGCTCGCTTGAAGCCCCCATAGAACTAAACTCGAACGTGTTTGTCAGACTGCCGAGCTACTCTACGACACAATGGGGATGATTCACGTGCTTTTGGGGACTGTGTGGTTTTTGCATATTAGGTTGTATGTTTTTCTATGTTTTAGAGACGTCAAATCGACATCAGAGGGAACTCTGGTTGTGGCGCATATCTTTTTAGGTAGGGCATCGTGAGTCATGAGCCTCAAATGCCAGCGGCTCCTATGAAGTGCAGCTTTGCCGGGATTCCCAAAAGAGATGTGGTGGCTCAAATGAACTGCAAATCCCAAATGCAAAGTCTTGGACTACAAACCCTAATGCCGAAGGCCGAGTGATTAGTGATGTTCTTCCCTTATCACACTTTTAGACCTACAGCATGGTCTGAGACTGTAGGCACCTACCTTGCGCAGGTAAAAGGCAAGACCAATCCTATCTCGATCTTTCAGCCGACGCCGCGTGAGGCCAACTGTGGTTCCTGGGTAGCTAAAAGTTATCAAAGTAATCCTCTCCCCAAATAGTTTATGTACGTCCCCACACCCCCTGATATCAAAAGCCCCTCTCAACATGCGCTTGCTCCTTAAAAGGGCGGGAGGTGTTAGACATTATGGGAAGCCATGGTCCCTAAACCCTAAGCCCTAAAACTCTAAACCCTAAACTCTGAACTGGGGCAAAACGTGGAAATGGCTCAGTTACCAATGTACTACAGTAGTTTCCTTTTTCTTTTCAAGTATCCCAATATAGCCCCCAATGTAACCCCAGTATACTATAGTAGTTTCCATTTTCTTTTCCATTATCCCCATATGTACTATAGTCTAAACTCCTTGAATGGGGTTATATAGGGGATTATATATGGGACTACTATAGGGGATATTTAGGGAGATACTAGGAGTTTAGACTGTAGCTCATATAGCCCCAACTATAATTGTTTGTCATTCATTTGCCCTTCTTCTGGTCCGCTCAGGGAGGATGCTCATCACCACAGTACCTACCCTCCCCTCATTAGGCTTCAGGTTTTAGGGTTGAAGGTTTAGGGTTTAGGGTTTAGGGTAAACATGGAAGGAAGCCCATATAGCCACCTTTTCAAGGGGGAAGGTGGATTGCTGGTTTCCATGTTACTTTGGAAAGTCTTCTGAGCCTTCTTGCCACTCTCTACGAACCCTGTTTACTCCATAGACTCCCTAAAACATGGCCACAATGGACGAGCTGAATGTGGGTGCATTTTCCAAACAGTTTGCAGAAAACAATAACTGAAATTCCTATGTAGCCCTAAGGTCTCTACCCCCCATGAAATCTGTCGGTCCCTGCTGACTCCTTGTCTGCAACGCTGGGCGCTTCTGATCACTCGTGCAGGCGTCGGTGGCGGTTGGCCCGGCGCTTACAAGCACATCTCAGGTTTCGAGACATGTATAGGCTGTCTTTTGGGTTCACAAGCAAGGGTGCATAAAATTGGGAGCATGGTTTTGGTAAAGGCCTCTTGCGGCTGTATATTTGAATGTGGAGGGTGAATTGGCTTAATGGGGCAAACCGCTTATCGTCTTATCACCGTTGTTGAAAACCTCAAAATAGACTTCCATGTGGACCTAGTGCAACAGTAGAGTAGAAGACTTCAAACATGGAGCATCATTTGGGCTCAGCTAGTATAGGCATGTTTGGGGTCATTTCGAATGCCCCTAGGCCTCAACCTCGAAGCCAAGGATTTCCGAAATTAATCCCCAACCTCCAAGGTATCACTGGAGATCGGAAGATTCGGTTCCCATGGTATGCCCGGGCCTTAGACTACAAGCCCTATGTAGTGCAAAGAAATGAAGAACATTTCTGAATGCTTAAGAAGCCAAGGACAACCTCCTGGACGGATCCACGCTGAACTCCAAGGACTCACTTTCAATAGTGTAGCGCACTGCACACTCTTGGCGTTTGGTTTTGGGGCTCAGAATCTCTACTCGTGGGACCCATTTCTTTGTTGGATTCTTGGGGCTTTCATCTCGTGCTAAGTTGGGAGCGCAGATGTATTTCATTCCAGAAGGCCGACAGCCTAAAGTAAAAGTTGGTTCATCTTGCAGCTTCTGAACCTAGACCGTTTGCGGCTACTGGGGTATAGGGGTTTAGGGTTCAGCCCATCTGTTCGCTCTTGTGAGGACGCTATGGCCACGGCCAAAGCCAAGGTGGCAGACTTACAGCGGCAGCCAGGGAACAGTGGGGTTGTTGAGACGAGGTAGATTATAATATTAAGGGTCTTATAGGGGATGATATAGGGAAACTACCGAGTAATGAAAAAGAAATTTGAAACTACCACATTGTTTCAAGGTATAGATGGGTCTTATCCATGGGCTGTCCTGAAATTCGTCTAATACGAATATTTTTGTTTGGGTTGCCGTTTAAATGCTGTGAGGTCTTTCCAAAAAGAAAGATTGCCAATACTTCGCAGAAATAAGGTTGACCTACGAAAGGACCTGGAGGTTTTTGAGCCCTCTGTTGGGAGTTATCTAGAGACTTGTGGATGATTTGTATGACAAGGAACAGGGATGAAAGAGGTTTGGCTAATGTATTCGTAATCTGCCGTGTTCTGTCAGATGGGTCCTAGTGTGGGAGAACCTTTCTTTGCTAGGTTCTTGGGAAAAGTACTGATCATGGAATGCTCGGTGTGGAGATGAATCATGGCATTGTCCAGCATGTGGCAGTGATGTGTAAACTCACTGCTACACGCTGCATCCCTGCACTTTAGGACCCTGAACATCCGACGGACCTCCAGAGGCGGACCCCGGCATGAACAGAAAAAAACATGTCAAAACTAAGCTTGCAAAATGCAACAAGCCAGCCCTATCTATAAGGTTTACATACTTCCTAACCCGAACAGCCATCGCCGTGAAACCTCAACATGAACTTAAAGCTTTTAACCCCAAAGCTTGAAACCTACATGCCCTAACTACCCAAAGTGAAAAGCATGGAAAGCCTAAACCCCGAGACATCCTTAGGTGCAGAGTCTTTGCTCCATACAGAAGTGGCCGCCGAACATGAAAGTAGCGGAGATGCTGGGCAGCCCTTTCAGCAAGGCTGGATGATTTAGGCTTGGGTTTTCAGGAGCACATTTTGTGGAGATTCAAGTCTTTAAGTTCAGAGGATCTGCGTTCCAGGGTCTTAGCGTTGTGAGTGTCAGCAAGGCTTCGCTTCGTGTTGGTGTTTTGAGAAGAAAGGGTAAGAGAGACCTGCAGTGAGAACTCCTCCAGGCCTGGAACTGCTCAAATTCTCGGGAAGATGGCATTATATAGGTTTGTATAGGAACTATATAAGGAATGTATATGGGGGTTTGCAGGGATTATTTTCCGGGCTGGGCGCAGCACCTGCATCCTGCGGTCTCGGCTTTCTTGACTGGCTTCAACTGGGCTTTGTAGACGTTCTGGCGGGTATCATGCTTCAAAATGCCTAGATTACCACTGGCGTTGCCCAGGCCAACATGAACATCATTGGCTTTCCAGGGAAATCATCCAGCACAAGCTAGGGCATGGTTGAAAGAACATGAGGAAGCCGTGCAGTTTTTCGTCGCCTTTCGCCATCAATCGAAGTGCGTTTTCACCATGCTGAGTCACGAGCTGAAGCTATGAAGTGTCTCTCCAAGAATTCAGGGGACTGGAGGCTATTTATTGCAGGCATCTTGACTTCATGGTGTTTCATCCGCGTTAGGATTCCCATGGCTGCGCTCAAGTGCTTCAGGTTCCTGAAATCCTCCTCCATGGTCCAGGAACACTTGCCAGACTCTGCAGGAGCTCCGCAACAATCTTAAGCCCTAAGCCCTGCGAAGCCTACACTAGACATCAAAAACATCACTAAGCGTTGTCAAGAACCCCAAACACTGAAAATCCCTAAAAGCCCGAACTCTTAAACCCAACGCGCAATTCCAGCCCCTAAGTGCCTAGTCAGCAGCCTTTTTTGGGATCCCACGTTTAGCTTTTTTTGCCATCTTGGCGAGGCCTTGCATGCGCCGGATCAAGTTGTTGGGGCCTCCACACCGACTCCTCGCATGAAGGCAGCCAGCCACATGAGCAGAGTTGTGTTAATGTGGTATCTGTTGTTCCCAATAGTAACATCATGATTTCGCTTGGGGTATAGTTCTTTGTAAGAAGAATATAATCTTACTTGGTTCAACCGCGAAGAAACACGACAGATATGTTTCTATTGAGTAGGATTATGAAGGGAGCGCGGGCATTATTAGGAAGGACTATGGCGCGTCAGGGATGATACAAGGACTAGATGGGGCAGTATAGGGTTTGTTTAGAGATCAGTCAACGATGTATTGTCAGAATTGTGGCTGTGAGGCAAGTCTGAATTCAATTCAGAGCTGGGACGAGGGAGGCCTTTCGGACCCTAGGACAAAGGCGCGACACCCTAGAAACGGAATACGTATTTTCAATCCTCTGAAGCCCCATGAATTCGAGTAGACACCTCGGATATCAATCCTAGGATTTTTGCAAGATATGAAAGTCTCTCGGGTTCTGAAGCTCAGAGGAACCGCGCACGACATCCAAGAATTCCACACGTGCTAAGTAGGGATGACCGCTCAAAACCATGGAGCTCCCATCGAAAGTCTAAGCTTAGTATTTTCTATCCAAGTCTCCAAGTCTTTTTTCGGCTTTAGGAACTTGATTACAACATTGAAGCATCGAGTCTGGGCAGCGCTCTCTCGGATCATTCGAAGCATTAACATGTTGGAATGTGGATTTGCTGCAATATTTGGAACCCAGAAATCCAAATATTGAAAACTCATGGAAACACTGAGCTTAGTATGAATGAAAGCCTAGATGAACTCTGGGACTTTCTCTTGGAATCTGCGAGTCTCATATTGAAGTATTGAATTTCAGCCCTGTTTCCAGGTTTCCAGGATTCCCAGACAGAGTGCCCACTCATATCTTCGAATCTTGAAATGCTCAAGCGCACTACTTCAATACATGTTAAAGACTTTTTGGGGCTCACAGTTTGTGGCCATGGTTTTCGCTAGCGGCGTGGGCCGTGACCGCAATGTTTTTGCACATTTTCAGGTTTCAGGGGCGGGGGGAGGGGGGGGGAAGGATAGTTCCGTCACGTAGGATTGCATTCGCAGCCGCTCTTCTCAGTGGCTACTCCGTTCAATGTAGAAGCATGATCCTTGCCTGGCTGGCAGTTGCCTTGAGTCTGGCTCTCATGCTACGGAACGATGTGGGTGCACTGGTTGCGCTTCGTTGGCTGCTGAACTTCAGTTGTGAAGATTTGGCATCGCACATGGAAATCTTGATGACGCCTTTTCCATCTGGCTTGGCTGAGTATGTGGCACTTCGTGCGATGCTGACAGATGGCTTGCGTGGCGGGCTGCCCTGGGAGCGTCTGCTTTACGCGCGCACCTACCTGTCAAGCTTGGCCGTGGACAGATTGCAGCGGCAGTTACTCGGCGCTGAAGCTTTGGCGCTCGCGGTGTGGTGCAAAAAGAGAGTGGATGTGTGTTGGCGTTACCTTAAAAGGTATGTGCCAAAAAAGTCTTCATTCCAAGAATGACGACAAACAAGTCAATCCCAGGCTTTTGGATTACATCCTCAGTTACGAATGGCGGCGCAATGCCAGTCCCGACCTTTGGGATGCGTTGGGATCCCTGGCCAAG